TGCGGGGTTAACGGTTGTACAAACTGAAATTAAACCTAAAATCCATTATCAAGGTGACTTCATTTCACTAATTTTTCGCTCGGTTCTCAAACGAGAGGAGCAGCGAGATGCACACAAACTGTCAGGATTGAAACACGGTTGCCTAGACCGAGTTCCATGAGTCAGATGGCGGGAGTAACTGGACAAGCGATGCTGCGATTAGGTGCACGGATCGAAGAGTTCTAACGCTGCTTCAGTTCCATTTTACTGAGACCGCAAACAACCAGGGCTTGGATGATGAACGATTTCACATCATGGTGTTCCGATACAAGCAGAACAATAAAAACAACAACTCACCTGGGCAATAGATTGCTTCAACTCCACCAGAATTTCAGTTTGACGCACATTTTTCAGTTTCGGATCGTCGGAAATGCTCAAATCTGTCTGTGCATCATCCTCATCCAACCGGTCGGTGGTTTGTCTGGTGGTCAGTGCTGTGCGGAACGGGACTGACATGCCGGTGATGCGTCGATGCGGAGTCGTGGTCCACAAAACCGATTGTAGCAGACTGCTAAATCGCGAGCGTGGTCGTTTGAGTTGTCGTTTAGCCAAGTACTATCGAATGGGACCGTGTCCACGCAAACCGGAAACGAGAGGGGGGAATAGACAGAAACGGACAGTGGGGGTGAGGTGACCAGAGATTTCAAGGTTACGCGCAATGACTATGCACCACATGTCGCATGATTGGCGCAATCCTATTTCATTCGGGTGCATACCTAACCTACCACCACTTGACGGTCACGTGGCTTCCGGACTGTTCGAACGAGGATAATTGATCGAAGGTCGGCATATTTAAACAATCAAAATTGTTGTCCCTTTGTCTTGCCATATTGATCACTGGGTATTAAATACCGTGTAGATACGGAATGAAAAAAAAACACATGAAAGGAAAAACAAATTGCCACGTCTATGTTCATTGATGTGGTTAAATAAGTGATCACAGGGATGAAAACGGAGGTGAATGTGAGAAGCTTAAGTCGAAATTCCCGGGGACAGGGGTTTTTTGGATTTGGTTTACCATATGATATTTTTCTTTATTTTGGGAAAAAAGATAAATCTATGGTCCACTTCCATGAGTGAGGTAGCGGATAATCAAGTGGTCATCGACGAGAGGGGGAAGGGTGTTACAAGGTTAAGGGATGATGGAATAGATAGGATTGGAAACACAGTCCCCGAATCAATGTGATGGCAACCTATGTACATTATATGACAACTATTCCAATGGAATAATGACATGTCTGAGTTAGCTGGTACCCACGGGGTTTGAGTATCAGGCTGTGCTTAGTATGAAAAAGAGTTACGTCTAAGGACCTCAAACAATTTGTGGTTATGAACAGGGACCTCGGAACATTCCCCTGGTCACTTCCATCAGCAACTATTGTTTATTTGGGTACCCGGAGGTGAACAGTTACGTCGACCACAGTTGTTGAAACGAATTGGACTGAACACAAGATTGGCACAATCCGTTTCAATTGGGATTCGTGTGATGGATGAATGACTCGTGGTTGGGTTTAATCAATACCCGGTTTCGAGCTGCTGGAATGAGACAGACGTAATCAGTAGGCATAGAACCGCAGGACCATAGTGCTGGCAGATTCACACCAGGAGCAATCCGTGACCGAATTCGAGTAAGGTGAATTGTACACAACTAGGCCTGGTGATGATCACTGTCGACGGAGTAACACATGGACTAACCGTGTTTCTTTCAAAACTGATTTGAGTATTCTGCTTGATAAAGTGAAGTATTTCTGGATAACTACAGTGTTCGTTCAATGCGCAATTTGACAGTAGCCAGGAAACTGGCAGATTTGTTTTTCATGCGGGTTGCACGCACGAACCCCTGGATACCCTCGGGTTAAGCAGAGCTGAATGTTACCAGGCGTATCCCCGGGTTGTGGATAGCGGGGATACGTTCACCCAAGAATGTGAGCTGTGAATAAGTTGTGGTACACCGCAACAAATAAGCAGTCACGAACAAACAGTGGTAGCACTAACTGGGTGTGGTGGGTTTCAGGCTGGTCACCGGGCTCCTGTTTAAAAGCCGCATAAGCCCAATGATGGTGTCGTGACAAGGGTCGATGTGATTGGCCTTTTAAAACTAAAGTCATTGACCCCCTCACTTCCGAGGTGAGGGATTACTTCCTGATGTCTTGCAGTTCGCACTTGGCTATGCAAAGGCTAGAGGTACGCCCTCAAAATGAAGGAGCCAGCCGAAGTAAAGTGAAGTAAACACGCACGCACGCACGCGCGTATTTCGATACGCGATGCAGATTGAATAGCGCACGCAGTCCAGGTGAGGTATTGCTTCTCGATAAATGACGATTGACCTATTTACCTCGAACCGCAAACACCCAATCTCTGTCCATGACGGGTTCCAGAATGGAAAATTGGTGGGATTCGAAAAGATCCATTTAGCGGTGCAAAAACTTTCCACTCGTGATACAAACGATTAATCCGGGTTGCATGAGCCCTGAATCACACTGGACGAGCGAAAGGAAAAGCAGTGAGTGAACGTACTTGTTTTGGCAAGTTCGGTCGCAGATCCGGTTTCAAGACAGCGCTCTCCTCGACCATCAGCTGAGCGAGATAGTGCCGACGAAGACTACCCAGTGCGGCCGCTTCCAAGTGGGTCTCGTCCAACGAGTAGGCAACCTAAAGCCAAAAGAATCGGGCAATAAAGCAAACATATGACTAAATCTCACGGTATGCTAGAGTGTGTATGGGTGAGAGAGAGAGACAATGAGGGATGAGGTAAATCGTTCACAATGCAATCAATAATCAAAGTGGGGTTGGGGTGTGGGAGATGGCAAGCCCTGGAGGATAAGCAAAGGATCAGTATGATACCCACATAGCCTCCTGAGTACATGCATTTCATCCTGGTTAACCGCAAACGAGCAGCTTCTCGTGATGACTGTGTGTGAAGCAAGGAAGGAAATCTACACAGAGAAGCACCAATATCTGTCTGATCAAGGGTGATTGATTCCCACTGAACCGCAGAGATGGCCGTGTTCACGCATTCCGTGTCCCATGAACTGAAATCGAAACTAATCGATCAGATGACAAAGCATGCATCGGCGATATGCACAGATACGAAAAAGGCATGAAAAGAAAATTAGTTCGGGAGCGAAATAACGTGAGTACCTGGCAGTGGTCAACAAGCAGTAAGCCGTGAATTGGTGAAACGTGATGCCACTTGCGGAAGACGTCACTGAAGTGCGATTATTCGAGAAGATAGAACACAAGGTATAGTTGTTAGTTAGCTGTTTCGAATTTATTCGGTTGCTTAAATTTGGTTGTAGGGCATCAACCGTACGGGAGTAATCCTCGTCGGCGTGACTGATTTCAGTGAATGCGGCAGGATGTTTCCAAACGGACGTCCATTACAGCATGTTGCATCAGACTTGGAGTTCAAAAGATCGTCTTCATGATGATCAACAGTGAACACACCAATACTGTACCTCTTGTTTATTACACACCAGTGAGCGATGAACATCAGACGGGGCGGATTCCATAGTCACGAAGACCAGTCGTTCAGTGATGATAGCCAGCAACCTAAGCCCCTGGATCGGGAGTGGCAAACCACAAAGGCCCCGCTAGGTCAGGCTTAGTATAAAACCGGGGGACAGCAAAGCTGCCTATCATCAAAGTTGTGTAGCGGTGCCGGGACTCGAACCTCGGACCATAGGATCCAAAACACACCGGTGACAACGATTAAACCACTGCACCACCCCCTACTCTGTCGAATATCAACTAACAACTAAATTGCGAATAATGACGCTGTCAAATGGGTCTAGTAGGGATGAAAACAACCGCTCTTTAGATGTCCTTCACCCCACTTATAACAGAACTCGTTGAATCCTAAAAAGTTATACTTTACTAGTTTCTTGATACAGTTTCGCCGGGTACGATTACCACAATCACATCAAACCCGCGATTATCATGTGACAAATATGTTATGAAAATCGCATTTAAACATGTTTTCGTAATTTCAGTTCAACACATATGTTTTTAAAAGAGTAAGTCCTAGAAAGGACAGATGTAACAAACTTAATTCTTGTCAACATCGAAACATTTCATTGAAAATATGTACCAGGCTTGAAAGGATGATGGTCCAGCTTTGGTATTATATAGGTACCGAAACTTCTGGGCTGAATATGCCAGAGGAAACAAGTTAGAACTGTGAGTCTGTTAAAGTATCGATGCACAACAGAGGTGTCAGATCCGCTTGTGAAAACAATGGACAAATTAGTTGTATAAATATCAGCCGGATCATACTCCGCGAATTGTCTGCCACACGTGAACAGGACATGTGTGAGAATCAAATTGATTTTAGACGTGATGGAGGTAGACCCCGTTTTCACTCCCTCACCAAATTTCGGCACGCAAACACTCCTGTCTATTTTGTTTGCTCTGAGAGCGGCTTTCGACTGAGCCGACCGCTCTATACCCTGGCTCTGCTTTTTCGTGAAGGTTATTTGAATTTTACGACCCCTTCATGCTAGCACCCGAAGCGGAGTCCAAGTGTGTGACACTCTTTTGTCTGAATTCAACACAGAAAGCGGTGTTCGTTGGGGTTACCCTCCCTCTCCCTTTCTATGCAACTTCGTAATATATTTGATCCTGGAAATAACCCTGTTGTCGTGTGAAGATAACGGCGTTCATTTTCTCTCAGATGGCAGACTGTTTGACTTCGAGTATGCAGACGACATTTCAGCCAATTCCGGTTACCCAATAGAGCAAACGCTAAACCTTTGTAGGCTGCGTTGGGCGGGGCATGTGTTACGGATGTCACGAAACCCATTGCGACGGGGAACAATGTCTGCTGATACTGGTAAGGTAAAACTTAGCATGAGGACATGAAAACCGTGACCGCGTAAGGTCCCAAGTTGTGAATCTCAAGGTCAATGCAATCGATGATTAGTATTGATACGTTCGGATATGGCTGAGTGCCGTAACCAGGATCACTCGTCCAACTATGTAATATGCTTTCAATCTCAGTGGTTTAATTTCCGCCGTACCCTAGGGTCCCCTATGGTCCGAGCTCCGGCACCGCCACCCAACTTTGGTGGTCGACAGCTTTGCTGTTGTCCGTTTCAAAAACATGCCTGACCTAGCTTGGCGTTATGTGGTTCGCTACTCCAAGTCCCGGGGCTTAGATTGCCGGTTACTATCGCTGTACAGGAGGTCTTCGTGACTATGGTATCCACCCCGTCTGATGTTCATCGCACTTTGGTGTGTAATAAAAAATGTCTGCCAGAATTTTATATTTTCACCATTCTGTAAGCACAAGTCGGGTGATATGGCGGCATCACACGTGTGGCAGGCTGGCAAAAGTTGGTGTGGTTTTCGCTACATATGAGATGATTTCAGCCTTAACACCACCTCTAGCTACCATAAAAGCTCCCGAGGTACTTTAGAAAAAACTCCCGGTATCGAGTACACGCAGCAGTACCTGCCGCATTAGCACGAGCAACTTGCATTCGGGTAGCGCAAAGCACACATCGTATCCGGATACTTAGAACACCCAGTCGTTCACAGTTCGCATAATTGCCTGTGCATTGTTCCCCAAACAGTGACTGCAAGTCGTTAACCATGTGCTTTTCATTTTTGATTGGATTCTTTTCGTTTCTTCTCCTTGTAAATGTATACTCCAGAATAACAGGAACAGATTTGGATTACTGAAATCGTAGACGCCTACTCGAGTCGGGGGTAATTCGATCGAAACTATAAGTGAATCGGCAACCTGTCAGTCTGGTCCCACATAGTCTCACAGTCTGTATAATCGAAACTCAACACGGTCACCTAATTTTTCATTTGTTGTTTCGTAAAGTTCAATCATCTATCCCCTCCTAGTGAATACTGATCAAATAAAGGAAAATAAAAATGACAGAAACGTGGTAGGCACGAGCTTATGAAAATAACAAACCGATTTATATTTAAAAAAAGAAACACCATGACTGACAACAAGCCGGGGTTTGCAGCACGTTTAGATTGTGAAATAATTAACATAACGAATAGCTACGTGCCCATGTACACGCATGCGAGGACGAGGAAGATATGATCAAAGGATGACGGGGTGGGGGAATCTTACCCGTATCACTTCATTGATGTCTGAAATGGAACCGGGAGCATTGGACAGCACTTGGAAAATCTGAGCTGATGTGTTCAATGAGAGCAATTCCGGTTCCTGTGCGGTAAGGTGAAGAAAGAACCATTGATTGGTGAACTGAATGACAGGACTGATGTGTGGTGATCCGGGGTCAATTGCAGTACAATTACAATCGGATTATTATGGGAGACGTTTTGGTTGCATGGAATAGTTGATCGGGGTTGCATGCGTTGAAGGACGAATCATGAGCGGGCTAGACATCATTCATTCCGCTATCCATTCGTCGGCTAATCCACCGATGTAAAACACAATAAACCAATCTTTCAATAGAACTGCTTTGAAACCAAGTTGCTCATTCCGAACCAGTCGTTTGTCATCTTGGTCATTAAGGAACCAGCAAATAAAGACTGAATCGTAAGCTGAAATCTAATCAAACGGAGTAACATATGCCGTTCAAATAGGAGAAGGCAGGGGTACTTTTAAACACAGTATTAGGTGTTCGCTTGTTGGTTTTTCACCTTCACACATAGTTTATCGAGTTTCACACATGTTTTTGACTTTAGCTTCGATCAGTTTACCGATTAAAACAAGAGGGACATGCCAACAATCAAGAGGTAATTTCATCATGTAGGAATGGGTCCGTTTTTCTCGTAGTCGAACAAGCGACCACCGGCGGAAAACGACCCAAACAAGGTATATGAGTAGAGAAATTGTTGCTCATAAAGCCCATATAAAGGTGCAAGCCTCGCCGGAAGACACAGGTTGTGCTTGTGCTGTCGTACCTTAAGAGCAGGAGTAAAACTGGATGAGATAATTGCCAAAGTAAAGTACCGTCACTTTGAACGCTCGACATCTCACATCAGGCATTGGCACATACGGTTGGGAGATTGAACTACACATTCGGGTGAATGTCTGGCGTAGGCGTCTAAAATGAAATCTCCCTAGCCTAATCGGGTTGTTTTGTTCAATAATACTACTGTTCTGAGACACTGCTCACATGTGAGTGGTGATTTATTTCAACGATCAAAAATCAACAAGATCACCGATGGCGATTTGCTGAATCTCAAAGAAGAACTATCCAGTTCTGCCCGTCGTGTGGAACAGGAACTGCGATGGTATGCTTCTGATTCGATTTTCTGTGCTACGTATGCCAAATTACTAATGTCCCATCTGTGATCCTCACTAAACGAATATCCTCGACCAGCACCACCTTTTGGTATTATAACACAGCACTATATAGAACTGGTTACAACAGGGAAATTCTGTCCTCATTAAAGTGATATGTCTTTGTGTGTCAAAAACGGTAGCAGTTCCACTCCCGAGTGGTGATTTAGATCACGCAAGCACACAGTCAGTGAGGTGACAAGCTTCGTTAATTTGGTGACAAAAACGATGATGAGAAAACGTGCTCGGTGGACAAGGTTTTAAAATTTCAACTGGGGGGAAAAGGAGTGATCTGTGACAGAATGAAATCAAACACACCAATAAGTGCGGACAGTGAACGAAAAACGATGGGAAATTGAGCGAGAGAAATGCTTGTTATTTGGCAAATATTCAATGTGTCTCAAATTGAGAACGATGACTGACTAATAAATGTGATCGAGAACGATACTCGGAAAAAATTCATATTGGTATAGAAGAAGGGCTTGATGGAAACAATCTGACCAGGATATGCATATGTGAAAAGAATTATCTCACCGCACAACGTAGGATATAGGAGAGGGTGGACGTTTTAGGGCTTGATATGATCATACTTCGATGGCCCAATGATCGATATCGTACTGCAGGTTTTCCCCACGAGGAAACAAGGAAAATCGGCGTACAGATGAAGTGAATTTAATACTAATGAAGTCAGTTGTGAGACAAACGGATGCAGTTTGTGTTTAGAGACTCTCGCGAAAAGCACAGATCAATTTAGGATCGAGATAAAATGCAAAAGCATCCAGAATCCCGGAGGTCAAGCAGTGAGAAAATATGAAGGCAGAATCTAGTAAATCCGGCGTGATAACCGACCAACACCACAATCTATTGCAACAGGAGAATTTTCTCCGATACGTTCGTTGATCTAGCAACACGAGGTGCGTTGCAATTGAGCATTTTGACTTTAACTACTAGCATGATGCTAGTAATATGATGTGGGTCTCAGAATAGCCGCTGGGAGATAGCGATCGGTACACGGCATCAAATTACCCTCAGTTGCCGGTTAATCATCAACAGATTTAAACGATTTCATTGTGGTTCACATGTGGGGAGATAAGTAGTTACAGTACGGAATGGAATACGTGTCTTATGACAATAGACCTGGGAGATCACATTCACATGAGACATGGTTACCCGTCGAACAGGGAGAGGATGCAAATTGCACGTGGAATGACCATCACTAAGTGAGCAACGACGGACCAAATAACTGACCAATTCAACGAGAAACAGACTGATGCATGCTGTCTATTAAACTAGAAACACGAAAAATGAATCCAACTGGGTAACAAATCTCGGTGCCAAAGTTCAGATTTGCTGATAACTTCAAATCTGCCAAACAACCATTTGCACAATTAACCTTGCCTTAGATGTTCATTCGGTGGACTCCGGTGAATTCTAAGAAAAACCTTTCGGGGCAGTCAGTTTACATGTTAACTGGTGGATATCATGTGCCTCTGTAAGTTGAATGGGTATTTCGAATGTGTAAAGATCAGTGCTATCGGTGTGGCCTCGTAGCTCATCAGCGTGCACTGTACAAAAGCGGAGGCGGCGTCCATGCGTGGGTTCAAATTCCGAGGCTACTGAGCTTTTCACAATCTCAACATGAAAGGTTTAGAAGTTCAACTAAAAAACTGCACACCGGATTGAAAACACTTGATTTTAGCGTTAATTTTGTTGTCCGGGGAACACCAACTAGTACGTTTATACATGCAGAGAATATTTAGTTGCTTGCATTGGAATGATTTGTGTGAAAAATTGCGAACGTCAGGTTCAACGCGAATACTAGTTGTGTGAGCCATTTCCAGATCACAGCGACCGATGAACGATGGAATTTTATTGTGGGCGGTAGGCAGGGGAAAATCACATGGGATAAACAGTACAAATTGAAGGGAAACAGTCTACTGATGAATAATATAAAGTAAATAAGAGAGAAATTTTGTCTAAATTATCGAAACTTACGTCGGTCCTGATCGTAATCAATACAAGGGATAAGAAGAACGAAAGCGAAATACGAAAAATTGATGCATTGCGTTTGACGTGAAGGAAAGGTAAAACAGAAAATATCACCCCACTTCGCCCCTGTTCTGGCTAACCTGATTTTCTATTTGTAGAAAATGTGCGCTAGATCTACTGTCATGTAAGTAGGTTAAATAGTTAATATAGGACTGACACCTACGCATAAACACACAGACCGGCCAGGTGATTATGCATGATTTGCCCGTTTGACGAGAGAGCAAACATAAAAACTATGAGGGTTGTGAACTGTCCGTTAAGAAGGGGAAATTTGAGAGGACATAAAAAGTCGATTGATTTGAAGCATGGTGAACTCTTCCTCTATCTGCACGACATTCACAGCCACCAGCTGATTTTTCTTCATTTTTTCTCCCTATGGTACACAGAACATACCTGTAAACGTGAGCTCTGACGCACAGTCCACAATAGGGCGGAAAGAAACCGAAATGGGCGGGTTTTGTTTTTTTACCAAAGTGAGTTATAACAACTGGCATCTCACCTCAGTCAAGACATGCATGAGCATACATACACCCACAAACAGGACTCACAAAGTAGTGAAACAAACTGTTCTATTCTTAGCTCAAACTAGTGAAAATTGGAAAATCAACGTGTGGCCCGGTTATATAGTCAGGCCTCTAAAATCTTCAGCATGATCGGGAGTGAATGTCTCGAGTTGTGGCTGATCACCTTTGCCTTGCATCTCGCAAAATACTTGAATAGGCTCTGCTGAGGAAGCTCTCTCTCTCTCTACTCACTGCCTTCCCGTGGCAGGAGTGTTTTCAACTGCTTTGGCCTGGGCAACCTGGCAGTATTCTGCCCACAAACCATTGTACTGTGATTTGTTCGGCACGCAGTCTGCATTTAGACGTGTGTGAAAACAGATACAGATGTACTGATATCATTTTGAAATACACGGCCTCCACGCATTTCACATTCGAGGGGAAAAAAAATAGTACAACGGGATAACCGGCAAGAACAGTGGACAACAAGTAACAGGTGAACAGGATTAGAAAGGAGTTGCGAGAAGGATATCGATTGATTTAGAGCGCAGAAACAAACAAAAACGATCACAAACCGGGTAGATTAAGCGATTTTCAAAGTTCATCAACAGATCAGCCACACAGAAAATCTCAAAGGAAATAAACAAGTTTTTTTTTCTCGTGTACAAAGTAAGTTGCCATATACTCGGTTGATAAAACGTGGAGATTAGAGGGCGGGTGGGGCGTTCATGAGCACTAATCAGGAAGCAACTGAAAAAATTGGAGACCGATAGAAAGTCACTGCTTCGAAGGTTACTTCTGTCTTCCTCCTCCAGTAATCGTTCATGTTGCTCGCAAGCAGCCCAAAAGTTCAGTACACACAAACAAACCGAAAACAGAGATCAATGAGGATTTGGATGATGTGTATGTGGATCGGGACTTCTGAGTTTGATCAACAGATCTCGTTGGGAGTATGTCGAGATAGAGAGGGAGAGAGAATCCAACGCAAACAAACCGTGCTCGAGCATCACTGGATGAACATAGGCAAACAGTCCGTCTGTCACGTTTTGTGCACAGTAAATACAACGCGCAATGGGTTGGTGGTGGAAAGATGGGAACTTGTAGTTGAATACGGAAATGAAATTTGACCAATTGTAGTGTGTTGTCCGATTATAAAATTAAAAAAAATTAGCGGTTGCCATGCGAACACTATAACACCGGATAAAAGACCAATGAGTCATAGAGTTCAGTGAAGAGGATAGAGGATGGTACAAGTGTTCCTCGACATAGATTTTACCGATGCTCATTCCGGATGCGGAATTCCCGAATGCCGGATTCTTACCAGAGCGTGTTTTGGGATTGGTCAAGTGCTGATAGTCGGACTACGGGAGCCCGATTCCTTGCACCGGTGGCGGTTGAGCAGACGGACGCAAACCGCCTCTTCTGCGAGTAAAGCCACATTTGAAAGGTCGACAGTCATCAACAGAAATAAAACAGCTTTGTTTGTGTTCAGCCACAATCAGCTACAAGTGATGGTGATCACGGATGAGCTTCTACATTGGTTTGTTGACATCATCAACATGCTTTATTACATTTGGACGAAAAAAATAACTACGTAAAATGATTACGAAAAGCCTCAAAAACGTTGTAGTGACACACCAACTGGAAACTCACGGTAACTATGTATTGTGTGCGTAAAAGATGACGAAACTAGCTTTGTTTCTAACTGGATAACGCCTGATTCCCAAAGACACCCACACGCGGTCTGTATATCGTAATGCTAGACAATATGGTCCGGAGAAGTCATCCGCGCACCTCCTAGCATTCGTCAATCTGGGATTTACACTGTATGCTCTTTTTTTCGTCACATGCACTGATCGGATTCATTGAAAGACAACAAGATAAGTTCGAAAAGATCGCTGCGACAATACTAGTTGTCTAAGGCGGAACCAAGACAGAATGAACAACGCGTTTGTATGTACACACGTCCTTGTCACTAATGGTTACCACCCCGTTAGCGAGATTTTAGCTTAGACGGTGCGGGTGACCCGCATGGTTGAATAGAAGTTGAGGGGAGGGAGCATATGGTATGCGCGCGCGCGCACACACACACAGAAGTCACAAGATTATATTGCTGGAACCGGTAGCAGGTGGCAAGGTGCAATGCACATCAGTCCCAGAGAGTGCACAATACTTCTGCGGACACGAGGATGACAATGACAAAGATGAGCGGTTGACCCAGTGGCTACATTGCTGTTCGTCTCACGAAACGTGGTGTGTGCGACCGAACTGTTTTGGGTGAAGTTGTGGCAGAAGCAAAGATGAACACCGTATTGGGGGACGTAGATGTGAAACTATCCGTTTTTGATGCGCCCAAGATAAGCTAAGAAAAACGTACGGGACTGGAAGAACCACAAGAGCTGGCAGAAGCTCTGGGAATCTCAATTGAAGGGAGGACGTTAAAAGTCAAGATAAACACACTTGATCCAGTTTGTAATCAATACAGTGAGTCA